AATGGTCACCTAAATAATTATTCTCTCTCTCCTTGGAAGGGCCTACTCCCAATAGCCCCTAGCTAGGAGGAGGGATTTGTGAGTTCCTCTCAAAGCTATGCTAGAATTTCAGCTGGCTTCATTTTGTGCAAGTCTTCCACAGCTGGTGTCAATTCATGAGCGCAATGGGCAAGTCCTGACTAGAGACAGCATTTCATCGCACCTGTTCCCCCTCCTCCAGCTCTTACGTTCTTTCTACCTCCTCTTCTTAGACGTCCCCTGAGCCTTGGTCATTGAAAGGTATTGATAATTAGGGCTGAGCACTGCAAGTCATGTATTTTCAGCACTTGACCAGTTATGAGTATCTGCTGCCCACAGAAGTTTTTCCGTCAAAGTTGAGGGCAGCCTAAGTCTATGGGGAAGGCTTCTTGAGAGCTTGTTTGGAGGTTCTAGCAGGGGAGCACAGCTACTCGTACAGCCTTGACCAAAGACCGGTCATCCTCTATTCAGGGAAGGTCCCTCTATTCGGGTGGGATGCACATGGAGCAGTGAGGGAGGAAGGGGACACCCGCCTAGCCAGCCAGATCAGCCAAATCAACCCTGGCGATGAATGGAGTGACAGATGTCGCAGCCAGATCGCCCTCACATCCATGAAAGCCTTCTTTAATGCTTCTCAAACTAACTCACTTTCTACTCAAAGGAAACAGAGAAACAGGCTTTCCTTTTATCACATCAGATCCAATAGAGTAAGATTAAATGTTTAGCCTGTCCAGAACAATTTGCTTTACTTTTCTGGTCAACTATTAAGCAGGGGAAACAATTTTGGCATGCTTCCATTTTCCCTTGTCCAAAGGGTGGACTGTGAGTAGGGATGCTGAGTTGGTCCCTCCCCCTGTGCCAACTGTGTGATGATGGTTTGCGTCTGGATGCCTCTCTGGTGCTGGTGGTTCTGCATTTGTAATTTCATCCATCATCTGGGGTGAGGAAACATCATCCTATCTGTAGAAGATGGAGCTGAGAGATGGTGTAAAACGCGAGCTTCTGGAGTATAAGAGCCTCAATTCCGTGGCCAGCCACTTAGGAGAAAAGGCAAAGATGGGTTTCTAGCCTCTTTAGCTGGACTGGTGGAACCACAGGCCACGTGGTCTAAATAAAGATGTCACGTTGCTGGGGCAGCCTAGGAAATGCTTTGGTCTTTCTTTGCTTCATTGGTTTCTAATTAATGCTAAAGATCTCTGGCTCATTAGAGGAGGTTCTGGATTGGGAATTAAGAGACAGGCTTTTCTCCCAGCTCCTGTAACAATTTTTAGCCTTAGCCATAACGTCTCTGTTCTCCAGACCTTTTGGTTTTCATACTATCAATGGGACAGAGCTAAGGCTGTGGTCTGGAGTAGTGTGTTTCTAGTGGCCTTTCTGGCCCCAGGCTTTTCTCCTTATAGTATGCCCTACACCAAAGACCTCCATCTCTATAATAGTGAGTGCTTAGCAAGTTGTGCTATAGGATGAGAGATTGCTAAGAATAGAGCCCTTGCCTCACACGTACAAAGCCCAGGCTCATAATTTGTGGGAGAAGGGCAAATTCCTGTTAGCCAAAGACACTGAATGACAGAGTTGTCACTGTGAAGTGTGTACTCACGTATACAATATTTCGGATATCCCTGCCCAGTTTTAGTTCCCCCCTCATCTAATGCTTCTGCTGCCAAATTTCACACTTGAATATATCCTGCTCAAAGAACAAGAGCATCATAAACAAAGCACATTCAATTCGAAACCAACTGTAAGCATATAATATTAATAAATCTTTTTTTTTTAAAAAAATCACTTATAGCCTGAGTGTGCACGGAAAGACTTCCTAGGAAAGCAGGGAGACTTACCAAGATAATAGTTCGCACTAAATGTCAACAGGTGTGAGTTAATCAATGCCCATGACCAAAACAGAGGTGAGTCCCACCCATCATTTTCACCCAGCTCCCCTTCACTGCTGTCTCCCACGGTCCCTCTTTTCTCCTGACCATTGTTCTTCACACACGATCAACCTCTGTGCAGCGACTGATCTACTCATTATAATCCCACTGTCTTCTGTTGCCTGTGTTCTACTCTAAATTCTACTTAAAACCAAAACTATCATTTCCTTCACTGAACTCCTCCAAAGATAAGCTGCACGCTCATCCAAAACCCACAAATACTCCAGGTCTTCCGGAGACATTGGGGACAGAGGTTAAAGTTTAGATGGGCAAGGTCGTGAACTATTTCATCTCAGAATTATTTGTTTCTTAGTGTTGGTTCCAGAACACAATGCTTCCCCCATCACAGCTGAGGTTAGTTGTTTCTATTGTATTATTATTTAATTATTTGGTGTATGTATACATGTGCGTGCTCAATGTCCAACATAGGGAAATAATAGAACAACTTACGGGAGCTAACGTTCTCCTTCTACTGTGGGATCCAGGCATCATACGTAGGGCAAGTGGCTTTCCCACACAGCCTTTCCAAGAGCTGTTGAGGTGAATTTTTAAGAGATGTTTGACCTTCTCTATAACATCAGTGCCAGCTATAGACCTCCATGCTTATCTAGGTCTTTGGCACGTGGGCAGCGTTTCCTCCTAATTCTGGCTCCACTGTCCGTGCCTACAGTGTCTGTGTGGTCTACAGCTGTGTCACCCAGGCCCATTCTCTGACACCTGCTACCCAAAGATTCCCCATCTCCAAACCGCTTTCCTGACACATCCTGGATGCTACCACTTCCTGTGTCCCACTTCAGAAATCTTAAGCTTCAGTAAATCAGTCTCCACCCACCACCTCCCACCATCCTCTCTCCCGCTCCCTTCCTCTGACTACATCTCCTCTCTACTTCACCAGGATTTCCAGTCCTCGTCCTTGGACTCTACAATCTACCATTGTTCCCTGTATCCATGACAACCCTGCTTTGACACCACCCAGCAGTCAATCTGAATTTTACCTCTTCTCAGCTCTGCATTGCCCTCCCATCTCCTCTCTGCACTGCATGGCTCCTCCCATCTCCTCTCTCTGCAAGGAGTATGCACTTTAGTAAAAATCTCCCCAGTACACATCTGCATCACCAGGAGTTGGTCCCCGTGCATCTGCATCTTCAGGAGTTGGTACCCACGCATCAGCATCTTAGGAGTTGGTCCCCATGCATCTGCATCTTCAGGAGTTGGTATCCATGCATCTGCATCTTCAGGAGTTGATCTCCATGCATCTGCATATTCAGGAGTTGGTATCCATGCATCAGCATCTTAGGAGTTGGTGCCCATGCATCAGCATCTTCAGGCGTTGAGCTCCATGCATCGGCATCTTCAGGAGTTGATCTCCATGCATCTGCATATTCAGGAGTTGGTATCCATGCATCAGCATCTTAGGAGTTGGTGCCCATGCATCAGCATCTTCAGGAGTTGTCCGAAAGAGAGATTTCTGAATCTCAGATTCCATGATCTGAGCTCATGGATGGGAGTGGGACCAGAGTTTAAAGGTCACCCCTAATAGTCCTGACACTGGTGATCCTCTGAACAGATGGAGCAAGATGCTCCTTTAGAAGATGGACTCTGTCTGCTTCATGTTCACACCCTCAGTCTTACATGAATGAGGTAGGCAACTGGAAGCTGTAAGAATATTATTGACTGCAGCGGGCAGATGAAAGGTGACAAAATAAACATTGCTAGTAAAATGTAGGTCACTAAGACAAATCAACCCAGGAAATGAAATGATTTATGTTGATTAAGAGAAAATACATCTAATTTTTATGAATTTTTCAGGTAAAGAGATGAGTCCCCCTCAAATGGAAACATCTCCTCCTGGCAGTTCTCTCTATTCTTCCAGCTGCCACCGCGGGGACTCACGGACTCAGTCCCCTGACACTCGGGAGGGAATGGGATATGCAAATCCAGGCTGAGCTACAATCTGTCCGGGAACACATGGCCTGAATGAGGAGTGATCAAACATAACACTCTCAGGGTAATTTTCCACTGATTAAAGAAAAGGTGTAAATTCTGGGGTTATCCCACTGATGACGACTCTGGGGACATGCACTTTACATATTTAACCAAGGGGCTTAGCCTCTGAAAAGATCATTTCATTTTTGACATCAAAAGGGCGCTGATACCGTATTGGAGGGAAATGGGATTTAGAGATCACCCTTATTCTGTGGGTTCACCTCTTATTTAAAGTTCTCAGGTTTGGACCTCTCTCAACCCCCCCCCCCTTTCCTTTCTTTCCTCTTTTTGTTTGCCTTCGCTTTCTCCCCCCCCCCCTTTCCTTTCTTTCCTCTTTTTGTTTGCCTTCGCTTTCTCCTCCCATCTTGCTGTCTTTTTTCTTTCTTTCTTCTTTTCCATCCCAAGAGAGTATGCAAGTTGAAATGTGCTTGAAATATCTTTGAACTTCTAAACTTGGACTAACTTTCTACTGTAATGTTTACTCAGATTTGGATCCCAGTGTTAGAAAAATGTTGCAACCGGAATTGTTGTAGATTTAATCTGCAATAAACGCATGAGGGCTGCCTTGCCAGCTGGAGTGCCACCCAATGGTGTAGACACTGACACTGCAACCACACGCTGCTGCCGCTGGCGCCACTGCTGATGATGCTGCCCCTGATGCTGCTGATGTTGCTGCCTCTGATGCTGCCCCTGATGCTGCCGCTGATGCTGCCTCTGATGCTGCCGCTGCCACTACCGCCGCCGCCGCTGCTGATGATAATGATGTTGCTGATATTGATGTTACTGCTGCTGCTGCTATTGTTGATGCTGCTGCTGCCCTGATGCTGCTGCTGCTGCTGTTGCTGCTGCTGCTGCTGCTGCTGATGATGATGATGATGATGATGAGAACCCCAGAAAGCTTAAGATCAAGTATCTTCCCAGAAACTCTCCCAGTTCAGAATGAAAGCTGTGTGGTAGAAAGGAAGCAACAAGCTGAGGGACCTCAAAAATATAATTCAGAAAAAAAAAAAAGAAAGAAACTTAGCTAGGAACGGTGGCACACACCTTTGATCCCAGCACTCCAGAGTCAGAGGCAAGCGAATTTCTCTGAGTTTGAGGTCAGGCAGATCTCCATATAGTAAGGCCCTGTCTCAGAGAAAGAGAAAGAGAGACAGGTAGGGAGGGGGAGAGAGGGAGAGTGGGAAGAGGAAAGAGGAAGAGAGAAGAGGAGGATATCATTTGATGTTCTTCACAACAAAAGGAGATTCTCCCAAAGTTCTCTTCCTCCAGCTCTTTTGTCATGAAGCCAAGCAGGTCCTAGCCTCCGCTAGTCTTTGTAGCACTGAACTGATAGCAGATTTGACGTGTTTCCAAATTACATTATACCATGGCATATTCTTCCAGCTGTTGTGAAAGTTTAGGCAGGACTCCAGGGGACAAGTGAAGGCGTTGTAGAGTCAACTTTATCAGCTGGATGTTTAGCGGAAAGCTTGTTACATCAACTTACATCAGAGGGAAGGATTCTTTAGCTGTGTTTGGAAATCCAAGGTTTCTCTCAGTTTCTGAACGCAGTGACAAGCTCACAAGCCCTTTGTTGTGGGTTTGGCTGCCTCTGGCCACATTTTCCCTCCTCACTTATTAGGAGCAAACAGAAGAGAAAGGTAGAAGGCATGACGAAGTTTTCTGAGTATATATGAAAACGAAGAGGCCACTGACATGATATGTGGTGGGGAACATTTCCCCAAAATTGGAGTCAAGATTGCTGTTCTCAGTGTCTTTGAGAAGCTGCTTAGACTTGAGCTCCACTGTCCTGGGAGAGGGTGTCTAAAGCATCTGTTTTTTAGCCTTGCTGTCCTATTAGTGAACATCCAGGAGATGGGCGTTGGGGTTCTAATCATAGCCATGGGCTGTGCAGCAAAGGAGGCTTGACCTCCTTGCCCTAAGCTAGGTCGGAAGAATATTTGAAAGACCATCTTTGGGGGAGGGATGCTAGAGAACAAAAGAAATGTACAAATGGAGCAGCATGATTGCCAACATGTGGCTCTTGACTGGACTTTAGAAACCTGTCTTGAAACTAAGGGCAATGAGATGTTCTCTTTATGCGTGTCTGAGGTCATAGGTTCTAACCTCTTGGGAGGTTTTCAAGCCCTTAACCACAGAAATCTTTCTCCTGAGGTCTTCCTACACAGGTGCCTTAGATATGCTACAGAGAAGAGCAAAGTCGCTCTGATGGAGGAGAGGGGTGTGGAGGACATAGCCTTGCCTCCTCCCTGCCTGTCTCCTCAGCAAGACCTGCACACTCAGAGATGGATTCCTCTAAGCAAAGCAGGACGTCCCTGCATTGGCAAGGTATCAGGCTCCTGGCGGGTGGGAGAGAGGCAGTGGATTGTGGTCATGAAGTCTGTCTCTAGAAGCAGGCAAATACCGGGCTGAAAGCCAACTTATTACCTGCAAGAGGCGTGTCCCTGACATCTTAGAAGATGCCTTCCGTACCAGCAAAGACAAGCATGCATGCAGGTTCCCATGGGTTCCAGGCCAGCCTGGTCTCCTGATCTACAAAGTAAGTTTCAGGGCAGTAAAGACTACATAGAGAAACCTGGTCTTAAAAAAAATAAGGGTAAGAGCCTGAGAGATGATGTCACTCTTCTTCTTACGGCAGGTGTCCCGGGTGCTACTGATGCCACCCAGTGTCAGAGCTTATGGAGCCTAGAAATCTGTCTGAGGAAGAGTCACAGGAATGATCTTGGAGAGGAGAGCTATGGTCAGCAGTGAGGTCCTCATAGGGATGTTGCAGGGCGAAGGACAGAGCGGTATCCAGAACTACAATGTTTACTTCACGAGGAGCAACGGGCTCTTGGGCCTCCTAACCAACTCTCCACCAGGACGTGTTCCAATGTGTGTGGAGCACAAAAGTGGGTGTTGAAGAATCTAGTATGACGTCACCTGAGTGCCGCAGCTGGCTCTTGCCCTCCCCAGCTTTCTAATTTACCATCTTCTTCCAATTCACATATGAATGTATTGACACACCGGGAGTTACAAATGGTTTCAAAACAGAGAAAAAATTAAACACGCATGAAACTTGGAGCCGACAGTTATCAGTAGGTTGACAGGTTCTGGTTAGAAGTAAGAGTCCAAGGTGCTCGCAGCTGAATCCAGAGAGTCTTAACCCCAGTATGCATTGCGGCACTCCTTCCTACATTCCCACGGTGGGGGCCTGCTGGTTGCTGACTCAGGAAGCCACTTTGTTTCTAGTGTGAACAGACCTGGTGGTCGTTTGATGTAGGTCTCACTGGGCTTTGATATCAAAGATCATAAAACACCCAGAAAGCAAAGTAAGTTTCTGATATTACTGAGTGAGGTCAAACCACATGCCCAGGACTATACCTTGAGAGAGCTTTACTGAATTGGTTCCATCTGTGTTAATTCTCCTGTAGCATGTTCCCCCTTTGCCCCGAATCTTTCTAAGGAGTGAACCTAGGTGTGTCCTATGGTGTTCCACCAACACCCTCCAAATCCGTACACGATTGGCTCCCTTACCAGTCTTCCCCCACGATGTTTTTTGTGCCCAGAGCTCCTGAATCTATGAGTCTCATATGCACTCATTTCTCATAGACGTTATTGAAAGACAGTAGCCTCTTCTCCATTCCTGCAAAGGCCGTGCATCACCCAGGGCTGGAATTAAGATAAAGCAAGGGAGACAGGTTGGGGCACAAAATTTAATAGCCCCAAGATGGGGTTCTAGATCCTCAATGTCTGCGCCCTGCCGTGTATCACCTATCTCACCCTGGTCCTGACACTGCTCTGCCCAAGGAAAAGGAGCAAATTAGCCCCAAGGCCAGCAACGGATGGATAAATCAGAGCCGGAAATGTCTGTAGCAGCCTTAGACTCCACGCCTCTTTTCTTAAGAATGGGGTGGTTGCTGGCCTCCCTCCTCCGAAAACCCAGGAGGGTGGAGAAGACAGATGTGACTCTGCCCCGACACCAGGCTCCACTGGATGATGTCACCAGTTGGGTAAAAGCCCAATGTGACATCTAGCCAAGCACTTAAGCTCTCTGGGCTCCATTCTGGTTCCTCGGGCCTTTGACTGTGGATTCTAAAAAGAACCTTGGGACATCAATTATGCATCATAAAGATCTCTCCCTTGAATTTTTCCCCCTTAAAACACAACTTACTCGGTTAAGTGTGGCTGGAGACTCATTGATATTTTATTTTCCCAACATATTCATTAAAGTCAGGTGAAATGCCTTCCGTGGACGCAGAAACAGCAAGAATAAAAGATAATAGATGCAAATAAACGGCGTGATTGAGAGGTACAAGAATAACATGTGACTTGGCACTCTATCTTAGCAAAGGTACTTGAAGGTCCCATCCTAAATTCTTTTCTGTATTAGGGGAAAAAATTGGTGATTTTCCTTAATATCTTCAGAAGCTCCCATGGATACTATAATTCGTGAATGATCAAGCCTCTTGTCATAAAATGTCATAGTATTTGCATATAAACCATGCACGTTCTCTCACTTTACATTATCTTAGATTATTTCTATTGCCTATAATGTAAATGCTATGTAAATAGCTATAATATTTTAGTTTAGAGAACAATAATGAAAGCCTTCTGTACATGTTCGGTACCAATGCACTTTTTTCCCTCAATACTTTCCATTGGTGGGTGGATCCATCCTTAGATGCAGAGCCTACAATACAGAGTGTTGGCTGTATTTGGGTCTCCTTGGTGTCTTCTTTTGAGATTGCAGGCACACACATGTGTGCATGTATGCACACATGCATGTGCTTGTGTATTTGTGTGGTTTAAGTACTACTTCAAATGATTTACAAAAGAGGCAAACTTCTCCAACTTATTGTCATCAATATCATCCTTAGGATACTCCATGGAATGGTAGAGTAATACATAACTCAGCCTTTTGGGGGTCTCAAAAGAGATTAATTTGTATATAGAACTTTAAGGTAACTGTCAAGAACTTTGATGTTGCCATCCTATGAGTGTTCTTTGAGATATGGCGATTGGTTTCTGGCTCCTGATGCCATCTGCCTTGTCAATATCCTGTCTTGAGTTGAGTTGATTGATCGGGCTGGCTAGAAAGGTATTGCCTACCTCCCTCACCGCTCCATGTGCATTCTTCCTGAACATGCGCGTTTGGTTGAAGAATTCTGCCTTCCCTGATAGAGGAGGACCAATGTTTTGTCAAGGGTACATGAATTGCTGGACTCTTCTTTGAGAACCTCCAAACAGCTCTCAAGATCTTCTTTATATGGAAGCACCTATTTATATTGTTTTATGCTCCTCAGAAAACACACACACACGCACACACACACACATGCACATACACACATGCACACATGCACACACACGCACACACACACACACACATGCACACACGCACACCACCTAGAATTCTTGCTAGAATGCCTCAGGCTTTCCTAAAGTGTAGGCACTGATGTGGGAAAATAAGAAGACCAGCTTAAAGGCAACATCTGCTTGAAAAGAAGGAACAAGAAAGAACTACTCAAACCAGTGGGTGAGAAAGAAAGCCAAAACAGAAATGAGCCAGCATAAGCAGGACAAACTGGGTTAAGGAATCAGATGACCTGCAATGTCCTACACGATGTTCCTAGAATTGTGTGGGTCAACGTGACAGGGTTTAGAGTGAGGAAGTGAGATTGTCCGACGGACGGGACACTATCCCTCTAGTGCCAGTGAGCAACAGACGTCATCGGGCAGGAAAAATGACGTAACAGCCACCCCACCATTGAACTGAGTTCACTGAGATCACCCCAGAAGATGAAGAAAGCCTTAAACATCTTGACCAAGGCAACAAGGCTTCATGTCCTAACCAGCACCCAGTTCAAAACTCAAGTCCTTTTTCAGGTAACACTTGTTCCTCTGTTCAAGGGTGAGATGGGTATCTTTTCAGTAAATACTGAGATCAGAGACTCAAAGGGGAAACCTCTCTGTGGGCAGCCCTTCCATCCTAATCCAGCTGTGAAAGGACTCAGGGTACCTGACATTCCGACTCCGGTGTTAACTGTGCATGGAAACACTGATATCAGCAGAAGGGACTTCTAGGTGTCTGAAGAAGTTGTCGCTGACGGAGGACAGCCACTGAATTTCCGCGCCACCTCTCTTCCCTTGCCAAGCAATAGTTAATTTGAATAAATGTCAGGTCATAGCCTGGATGTGCCTTACCAGTGTCAATATTTTCGCTACCTAATAGTACACAGTGTTACACCTGAAATCTTCCAGGATGGCAGGGTGCTATTACAAAAGATTGCTTAATTGTAGATTGCTACTGTACATTTACATTTCAGTAGCAAATTAAGTTGTCAGACTTAATTACCGTTATATGTTTAGATGGTGCCACAGATTATTTAGTTCGCTACCTAGGTTTGCCAACCTGTTCCCTTTGCAATGTGTCAGGGTAGTAATTAGAGAATTACTGAAAACTCTTTAGGCTTCCTATGAACATGTCCAGGATGCCTTGTGCTCTTAAGGATTCTTTGGAGAATCCTCACTTCTGCCACCCAAACCCCCAATATCCCAGAATGAATCTCTAGGGTATAGCCTTAGAGTATCACAGCTTGGGTGCCTTTGTGAATTTATCCTGGTGTGGAAACATGGAAGATCTTCTGATCCCATAAAATGTTCACTAAACAAGAGGATATTAGGGGCATATTTCTTCAGTCTTATCATTATTGACCCGGATCATGTGGGACTGCCTGTGCATCAAACGATGCTTAGCAATATTTCTGACCTTTACCAACTCAATGTAGACAGTATCTTCCTGTCTATATCTAGACACTGGTAGATGACATGCGGTGGGGGGACTTCTCCAGATGAACTCCACAGACCTAGAGAAACAAATAGAAAACTGCCTACCAGGTAGTCTTGTGTTGGTGCCCTGGGAGAATTGCACTGTTCTTCGGACTTTTGGTTCTCAGGGGTGGAACTTCTGTATGGCCTAGAAGGATAAGATGAAAGAAAATGACTACGAAAGCCAAAGCACTTTTCCAAAGATTGGGAATTGATATCACCGAATTCCAGATTGATTTGTATGATTTTCTCTCTATCTCTGGGTCAAATACTTCCCATTCCTTCTCTGGCCTTCTCACCAGCCCTTTCCCCCTTCTCTCCTCCTTCTTCAGTGGTGGCCACTTCACAGGCAATCTGTAACAGGACCTGGCACAGCTAAGGAAATCAACATCTTCTTATTGAATGAATAAATGAGAGGCTGGGATGAGAGCTATAAGGAAACCACAATTAAAATCCTAGGTTTGTGACTCTCTAGCCATAAAGAAGATTGAAATTTAAAAACAATAGAATGGGTTGCCTATCTCCATGTTTAACAAGATATGGTTTAATTGATATGGCAATATCAATTTAGCCCAGGTTAATATTCTATGCACATTCTTATTCTAATACGAATGATGCTATATTTATAGTCCTCATTTCTGTCCAATTATAGGGTCATTAACACGCATATGCTTACTCACACATACACAAGTGCATACAAAAATCATATGTGAACTTGAGTGACCCTAATTGCTAAGCTAAGAACTTACCTATAGAACACAATAGCAGGCTTGTTTTTGTTGTTGTTGTTGTTGTTGTTGTTTTTGATCTTCAGATTTGTTCAACTGAAGCAGAGCAGGCATTGCTTTAGTCTATCAGCAGTTCTCTCATATCCATGAAGTGCTTTGTGTTAGTTCTGCCCCGGAGAACCCCCAAATTCCTGAGTGCTGACTTAGGTTGAGCTGCTTTGCAAAGTTAGGTTGAGTAGCTGGCCCTTGTCACCAAAGCCCAGGTGTCTTCCTTCACTCCTTTGTCCCAAGAACTTGGCATTTTCCTAACCTAGCAAAACCTCCAAGGAGTCAAGGAGAATATGTTTGGTTTCCCAACTTGACTCGCTGACATTTTGATTTGCAGCCACAATCATGCAGATCTTTGGCATGTCTGTGACATCTGATTTCTCTGAGTGCCTTGCACAGTTGATGAACGTGGCCACCAGTGGTTATTTGGCCTGAAATTCTGGTTCCAGATCCTGGTACAAAACATCAACCATCCCCAGTGGAGACGGCTGGGTCCAGCGATATCCAACCATGGTTTACTTTTATTCCTTGAATTAAAATATGCTTTTGATGCAGAATATTTAATATTAACATGTCCATAGGAGATGGCGTGGCTTATTGTCAATGAATAAGTCAATGTATAAGCATTTTCCCATTAGGAGGCAAGAAGGAAAACCACGATTTTGCAGTGGGGATTACTCTCAGACCCACTTTAGGTGTGGTCAAACTGGTGGAAGCTCTTTGAGAGTCCACCTTGTGGGTTCACCGTCTTCAATTCAACAGATACTGGTTAGGCATATAGTGAGAGGCGGGCATTAAATTGAGTGCTGAGAGAAATGGAAGGGAAAAGAAAGGATCCCCACCTGCTTCTCTCTCAACATGCTTTTCTAATCTGAAGCCAAAAGGGGTAAGGGACTCATTATTAGTCTGTTGGTTTGAAGGGATCTTGAAGACAATGTTCTATAACTTGCATGTTGAAAGCATTAGTGTCTTATTGTGAATTCATGTCATGGAACACTCCCAGAGAACGAATTTGGATGGGACAGAGAAGAGTAGCATTAGAGGAACATACATGTATATATATATGTGTGTGTGTGTGTGTGTGTGTGTGTGTATAGTATATATTATATATTAGCCAATATGTAATTAGCCTTTATCTCCTTTCTATGAGCTTTTTACCCACTGTCACCTCTTACTCTCCCCTTCCTAAGGGGTGCGGCTCACAACGCCTGTCTGCGCTCGATGCGCTACCACACAGTTCGTGAACCAGGCAAGGGGCTGGAGCTTGAAACACACAGACACACAGACAGAGACACGGACCTCTAGTCACTGGTAAGAAGCCCTTTCTTCAATAGCACCATGGAGGCTTATATACCCAACAGTCAAGTGGGCCAACAGGTGAAAACCTTATCCTCTGATCCTCAAGGCAGCTCGTGCTTGTGAAGCAGAGCTGGTAAACAACTTTGACACAGCTTTCAGTAACTCAAATCAGAAGGAAAGTAAAGATCTCTAGCGGGGAAGAGCAGCTGGAGGCCAGGACTCCAAACGGTCCCAACAAAGGGGAACTGACCTTGCTAAGCCTACGCCACTCATCTCCTCCCAGATGATGAGCGTTCTGATTCAAGTCTCTTTCCTTTGCTGGAGAAAGAGGATAGGGCAGGTCTCATTTTCAGGAAACTTGGAGTTTAAGAGCTGTAATTCCTAATATCAACTAACTCTGGAGATTTCTGGCCACTTTCTTTCCTTCATTTTAATGGGCTGAAGTGTGTGGGGGTGTCGAGTACGGAGCTTTATGGCGAATATTTAAAAAGCAAATGTAATTTTTGAGGTTTGAAAAACATTCCTTATACAACACTGCCAGTATTACTTCATAAAAATTCATATTCTCTGGTGCATTTCACAGTGCATATAATGGGCTTTTCTTACAAGAAAATGGTGGCACAGCTTGGAGTATAGACCTACAAAAGTTAAATGTAAATAAAATGTCACCTGGAGTGGCACACACTCACACTGTAGTCTGTCTTAGCCCGTTCTTCTGTCTCTGTAAAAGATTGCCATAGACTGGGTAATTTATGAAGAAAAGAAATTCATTTCCTTCCTTGGACTTCCCACAGGGCAGAGAACCCTGATTGCTCTTTGGGCTGACAAGTGAGGGGGACTTGATTGGGGGAGGGGGAGGGAAAGGGGAGGCGGCGGTGGGGAAGAGACAGAAATCTTTAATAAATTAAATAAATAAATAAAATGGAACCACAAAAAAAAAGAAAAAGAAAAAGAAATTCATTTCCCATAATTCCACAGTCTAGGAAATCCAAGAGAGAAGGGCCACATCTTATGAAGGCCTTCCTGCTGCATCTGAGTGGGGTTGGGGGGTGGGGACCCAGCAAGCGTGCACACAGGACAGAGCATGAGGCCACCTTCCCCTTTCATCAGGTCCCACTCCAGAGTGGCCAGCCCTTCTCACAGCAGCAGTATTACCACACTCACGGGAGCAGAGTCCTCATGCCTGGTCACTTCCTCTAGGTCCCACCTCTCAGCACAGTCACAGTGAGAAAGTGCCATTCCAAACACAGGTCCATTGCAATAGGGGAGACAGAGCCCCTCCTCCCCATCTCCTCCCTGTGATGGCCCCGTGTGGCTGTGCGTTCCATTACGATGTGACCAGAAAAGATGAGTAAGTCAGAACCCAAAGGCCCAGCCAGAACCAGCTTAGGTTTAACCAGTAAGGGAGAAACAGACTGTCAAACACAGAAAAATTCTCAATGTATACAGTCCATAAAATATGCTGGTCGGAACACAAACGCGGGAACTTTAATGTCTGGATTTAAATCCTCCTCTTTCCACTGTCCAACTGGCGGCATGTCCTTTAGTATTGTGACCAGGGCAGCAGCGTGTATGTTCAGTATAGAGTGCTGTACCAGGAGTGGTGGAGCTGAGTCCTGTAGCGGCTCTATCTTTGGGTTTTGAGAGGTCTCCACACTGATTTCCAGAGTGGCTGCACCAGTTCACATTCCCAATAACACACTTCTTCCAACAAGGCCACACCTACTCTGACAAGGCCACACCTCCTAATAGTGCCACACCCTATGGGCCTATCTGGGTCATTTTTATTCAAACCACCAGTTTCTTTCAGGAAATGGGAATCACTGTCAGCAGTGGATAGAAAGGGAGTTTAATGTGGAGCCAAAGGCTCGACCTTGTATTTGGGCTCTGTCCCTAGCTGTGCCATTGAACACATTGCTTACCTTATTCTGATCTTCAACTTCTTTACGTTTAAAGTATTAAGCTAGTAACAGTGATTTTGTTGCCGAAATTGAACAACATTGAAAGTAAAGTGTTTGACTCTGACAATTGTTCAGCGGGTGTTGATCAACTCTAAATCTTACTGAGCTTCTGGGTTTTGCAAAGAACACTTGGAAGTCAGTAGAGAATAAAGCAAGTTCATTTAGATTTCACAGATGAGTGTGCTCCAAATTCCGGATATATAAAGATTTGAATATAACACTTCTATGCCAATCTTTGCTAGGTTGATGACAAGCTCCCACCATATAAGGCCTGACAAAAATCTATCGGGAAAATAAATAACATTGACCCCCTCCTCAGCTAGAGTTGATCATAGCAGAAATATCCCTGCTCAGAGGAGCAACTTGTGAGACAAATAAAGTTACTTGTTTTCCTGGAGAAATATAAATCGTAACTAAATCTAGTAAACAATTATCTCTAGTAAATCCGGTTATTTTTAAACTTTCATTTAATTTTATTTTATGTGTAATCTTGCCAATGTGTGCATCTGTGCAGCAGGTACATGCACTATTCTCAGAGGCCAGGAAAAGGTGTTAGATTCCCTGGAACTGAAGTTACAGATGGTTGTGAACCACCATGTGGATGCTGGGAAGGAAATCTCTGTAAGAGCAGCTAGTGCTCTTAACCAGTAAGCCATCCCTCCATCCACAACCTGGTTGTTTTTAACTTAAATAATGAGGCCTTGATGGGTATTTTTTGTAACACACCTGAAGACCCAAAATTACTCTGTTGATGATAACTAAACAATTAGAAGTAAGATACATGGTAGACTTTGTTTATGAGCCCAACTGGGAAGGACATTTTTCCAATAAACTGTGGCAAGATGGTACCATGGACCTCTCGGGGCAGAGGTGTACCATTAGTTCAAAGTCACTTAAATGTTATACTCCTACTTAACTCTCCCACAAAACGAAACAAAACTCAAAGTTGAGTTTTATAGTCTGGGTATTTCTCCCCTGGGGACACAAATTTCAAAACAGTAACATGTGAGCCACAAGACCCTTGAAATTTAACAGAAGAGTCGGTTACTGCCGTATTACACACCCACTGCTGTGAGGATGTGTGTCAGGGCAGCTGTCTGTATGCTTAACAA